CTTTTAAAGAGCAACAACTTGTTTAAAATGTTTTACATAGTAAATTTATATGTATAAATTTTAGTTTATAGTATAGATTTTAGTTTATTGATACAAGTTTAAACTTAATTTTGTTATATTGTATATATAGCTCTACTCTCGTTTGAGGTATTATGTTTATGTAACTCATTTAGATTGTAATGGATAATTAAAAAATACAAATTACTAGTCTTCTATGATAGTCAAACTTATAGTCATGTAAAGTTTTCTAGGTATACATAGATATAATTCAATTAGGTAGATAATCTGCAAATACTTCAAAGACCTACAGAATATGGCATCTAAAATGTTTTAAAAATTCAGACTTTCTGGACAGTGAGATACATCTGCTCTGATTTACTTCAAAGAGAAAGATGGGCATTGAAGACCCTCTGTATGGAATTTATCTTCTTTTTGGCAAAAATAGCCATTTGGGCAAGAAACTGTTCTTGCCTGGACTGCTTGAAAAAAATGTATCAACTGGACATGCAGGACTCAGGAAGGTGACCACTGAACTTTTCAAGGCAAAATGGTCCTTCAGGCTCCTGCTTCACAGAGGAAACTGCCAGACATTCTACAAGACACAGAGAGAAGTGACTGAGAGACTCTAGGTCTGTGGGTTGAAGACAGATGCCCCAAATTTACAGAGGAACTTTGGATGACTGTCCAGGATACCAGCTGTCTCTGTCTACTCTTGCAAGACTCCCGAAAGTTGCTTGCATCTGTCTCCCATTTCTCAGATAATATTATATCCTTCTGAGGTCTTTAATGTAGTTGAAGACTAGATAGTTATAATTTCCTTAGTTATGATAAAAGATAAGTTAGATATAAAACCTTGGACTCACAAATATAGGACAGGTAAAGATTTTTTTTAATTTTGCCAAATACAAATAGACTAAATATTATAAATAGACTAGATATTTTAACTGTAATTCTTGCTTGATAATTGTTTTGTTATATGTAATTTTACTATGTTAAAGTTAAAACCTTCCTTTTGGAAAAAAAAAAAAGAAAGAAAAGGGGAGGTGCTGTGGATACGGCTCTGTATGCTGTGAATGTGTTGCTCTAATTGATTGATAAATAAAACGCTGATAGGCCAGTAGCCAGGCAGGAAGAGAGGAGAATTCTGGGAAGTGGAAGGCTGAGTCAGCAGACACTGCCAGCCACCGCCGCTATGAGAAACAATGTAAAATACCAGTAAGCCACAGACAAATGTCAACTTCTAGGTTAATAGAATGGGTTAATTTAAGATATAAGAACTAGATAACAAGAAGCCTGCCACGGCCATACAGTTTATAAATATATAAGTTTCTGTGTTTACTTGGGTCTGAATGGCTGCGGGCCTTGGCAGGAATGGAGAAAACTCCAACTACAGGGAATGATGTAATAATAACCTCAAAAAATAAAAATAAAATAAATAAAACCTACAAGATGGAAGAAAAGTAATGGCCCAATAAAAAAGAAAAGATCTGGCAGTGGATGATGCAGATACTATTGCTTTTATTTAGCATTTCTATTATTTGAAACAAAATTCTTCATCATATATTTTCCTATCAATGAAAATAATTTCAACCTACTTTAGTTATGATGGAAGTAGAGGAAGAAACACACTGTTTATTCATTCAGCAAGCATTTTTGGAATATACATAGGGAAAGAGAAGCCTGTGTAAGTGCCAGGAATGTAAGGGTGAATGCTAGGGTTCATAGCCACTAAGGTCTCACTGACTTGATCACTTACTTACAACTCACATACAAACCAATTCATAACTGGTGATATAGGACTGTTGTGAAAATGTGCACCAAGGGCTGAGCACTGAACCAGCCACACGAAAGACACCTAATGAATGGTGGATATTATTTTTGTGATGGATATTGAAACAGTAATAGGTACGTAAGCTGTTATTTACTACAGACTACAATAGAAAGTGCTTCTGAAGAGGGATACAAATATGGAAATGAGGATTCCTCAAGTGATCTCTACCCTAGGGGTTTTCTGGGAAAGGAACTCGGGAAAATGCATCCTAGACGGAAGTGCAAGCTAACAAAGCATACCGGAAGGAGAGCATGGCAGGTTGAGCGTCTGAGTCAGGAGAATCAGAAATACTTAGAGCTGGCGAGGTGGCTCAGTGGGTAAAGGCATTTGCTTCACAAGCCTGACAATATGAGTTTGATCCCAGGAATCCATGGTGGGAGGAGAGAATCAATATCTGACAGTCCTCTGACCTCCATACATGTGCTGTGGTAAGTGTGCCCCCCCCCACACACTCGCAAAATTTTAAAAGTATTAGTATTTATTCATCAATTATGTGTCAAGAACTACATTCACTTCCACAAAAGAAAAATCTGAGGTAGATATCATAACCCCCATTCAACCGATAGGAAAACCAACACGTCGCAAGGCTAGCAAATTCCTCAGTGATCCCCTGGGCGCTGCCTGGGAGAAAGACAAGACCAGAAAAGGAAAATGACTGACAAGAAGAGAGACGGCTCTTATAGGACAGGCCAACCATCTGCTCTTTTATTTAAAGAACAAACTTGAGACATTAAAGTCTTTTTTTTTTTTTTGGTTTTTCGAGACAGGGTTTCTCTGTGTAGCTTTGCGCCTTTCCTGGAACTCACTTGGTAGTCCAGGCTGGCCTCGAACTCACAGAGATCCGCCTGGCTCTGCCTCCCGAGTGCTGGGATTAAAGGCGTGCGCCACCACCGCCCGGCGAGACATTAAAGTCTTAAACACTTGACACCAAGTTGTACTGTCAGAAGAGGTCCTGCAGGGAACCTTCAGCATCATAAAGCAGTTGACACCACCCCTGCAATTGCCCTGGCTACCTGTGAGGGTCTGGGTCAGGACACAAGGAATGGAGCACACAGGCAGGATGACCAGCGGTGGTGGACTCCAAGAGAAAGCAAGAATGCCACGGCGTCCAGGTTTTTGGTTCAGCTTTGCCATTAGCAGGCTTGGGGAAATCACAGATTCATTAATAGGATGTGTTAGCTACTTTTTTTTAATCATAGTAACCCAACTTTATTGTGCGTCATAGTGTCAGAGAGACCTGTCTTCCACAGCAGAGAACATGTGTGGAGCAGTTCATGATGGCATATAAGCAGCAGAGACCCCAGCCAACACCAGGTGTGGGTAGAGTCTCCAAAGGGTCTAATGACTTAACTTCTGCCAACCAGGCCCCAACTCCTAAGGGCTCCTCAGCTTTGAAAACAGCACAAGCTGGGGACCAGAATTCATACACATAAGCCCGTGGGGGACGTTTCAGATTCAAACCATAGCATTCTATCCATAGCTCTCGTTTCATAATGCAAATTTTGGAATGTAAGAGATATTCAGTCCAACTTCAAGTTCCCACAGTCTTAATGGTCTCAACATGGTTCAAAAGTCTAAAATATCTTCTGACATTTGAAATGGTCTTAGTTGGAACTTCTATAAGATCAAAAACACAACAACAACAAAAAAGTGACGTCTTCTAATAAAGAATTCCTGGCCCAAAAAGGAAGAAGGAGACGTAGAAGGGAGTACTGAACCAAAGCAAGACTCAACATTAGCAGGGCAACACGAAACCCTGTAGCTCCACGTGTGACAGCAGGGGCACGTGGTAACACGACCTGAGCTCTGAAGTTGAGCAGCCCTACCTATCCAGACCTGCCATTCACACACAGCACACATGGCCACTCCCTTGGGGTAGCTTCACTGAGAGTCTACAGTTTTGGGGGCATTATCTTGAGCATAGGAGACCACAAAGCCCAGTCCCACAGTGACACACTTCCTCCAACAAGGCCACCTCTTCTAATAATGCCACTCCCTTTGAGATTATGAAGGCCACTTACATCCAAACTACTACAACGACCCTGTCTTTCAGGAGGGCCCCATTTCGGCACCCCCGTCTTCCAAATACACTTGCATTGCCACATGATGGGACCCTCGGCTGAGCAAACTTCTTTCCCAGTGCAAAATGGGCAGTGGCTCTCCAGTGGTGCTAAGCTCTAATGACTGCAACCATTTTGTACTTGCACTGCATGCTATTCTCATTTTTTGTTTTGCTTTTTAACTCTCAATTCTGTTTATACCTCTATCTAAAAGCAACAAGAAATAACCATGCCACAGCCTAAGTATTATGCTGTCTTGGAGTTTTTGGTTTTGTGTGTTTGTTTTTAAGTCAGTCTCACTAGGAAGCCCAGAGCAGACTGGTCTCCAACACAGAGATCCACCTGCCTGTCTTACAACTGCTGGGATTAAAGGTGTGTGCCACCACGCCCAACCCTATTTCTTTTTTCTTTCTATCTTTTTTTTTTTCTTAAAGATTTATTTATTTATTTTGTATACAGCATGTATGACTACAGGCCAGAAGAGGGCACCACATCTCATTACAGAAGGCTGAGCCACCATATGGTTGCTGGGAATTGAACTCAGGACCTCTGGAAGAGCCATCTCTCCAGCCCCCCAACCCTATTTCTAAATGTTTAAAACACTAAAAGGAATCCCAGTTGCTGTGGCACCAAAGCGTATCTGGGAGGTTGGGGGGGCATTTATCCACCATCCCCACAGCTCCCCAGGGGTTTCTTGAGTGCAAGCAGCAGGAAAAATTAGGATTTAGATTGTGGAGATGAACATATAGAAAATAACGGATAGCCTCGAGAGGGCCTGGAATCTATTCTAATGGGCCCTGACTGTCTCTGCCTCAGGGTTTTTATAGAGACGCCAAGGGGTGGAGCAAAAGACCTCCTCCCCCAGCACAGCCAAGAGCAGACCATCTCAGACACCTGCACTCAGGCCTGTGGTCCTAATCATCTTCTCTATGCAGATCTGCTGAGTAAAGCCACAAGGAACCTGAAAATGGGCTTCCACAGGAGGTGGTTACCAATAACCACATTTTCTATAAACTTGGAAAGATTGAGATAATGACATTCCTGTTTTCCCCAAAAAATATTTTTCTAGTATGGACACATAATAATAATAGTACCAGTTATAAACAAGCAACTTTGTACAAAATAATTTATTGCAGAATTGTCTAGGCATTATTTTACAGTTAATTTTTCTCCTCTCAACAACTATGAATCTAGAGATAAAGGGAAATCACTTTAATTAGGACTGTCTAAATAAAATCTCCATTCTGAGTTTGTATCAGATAGTAGATTTACAGACATATTGACATAGCTGAGAAATAGTGATTCCATTATATGATATGACAAAAAGGTGCCCCCCCTCCACCAAATACTGTTCAACAACACTGTGATTTAACAGCTTAACTAACTATAAGAATTAGTTATTCTGAGGATTCTAAGAATTCACCTAGTAGTTAAAGAAAGGCTTTGAGGGTGATAGTGCTTTGCTGTTTTAATTTGTACTCTGCCCAATCATGCTCCCTTGAAGAAAACCTCTCAGAACAAGCGACTTGCTAACTCTCTAGTCAATCAAGCAAGCGCAATTCCTCCACCATGGTCTATAAGACCAGCACAGGCACACAACAAATTTGATGGTCAATTTACATGATTAAGAGGCAAACCAGTCTTCACATTCTGAACTGTCAACATAAAAACTGGAGTTCCTTTATTCAACCATAAAGCATCACTTTTATGGCTATTATAAAAGAATATTAGAGTCTAATGACACGAGGAGAAAATATAAATCATTCAAATTAAGGTAAAAAGGGAGTGATCGCATTAAATACCAAAATGGAAAATATAGCTATTTCTTTTGTGTGTGTGTGTGTGTGTGTGTGTGTGTGTGTGTGTGTGTAAAATGGATAAGATTTTATTTCATCTTTTTCATTTTACATACAAACCCCAGGTCCCCCTCTCTTCCCTCCTCCCACCCCCCCAGATATGGCTATTTCTTAACATACAGCTAACACTTACAAAAAAAAAAAAAAAAAGCCAATAAAGAGATCAAAACAGATTCTGAAACTAGGATCAAAAGAAAACAGCGTAAGACAGCTTATCAGCAACTCAAGTATAATACAGAAGCAACAACACTCCTAATTCAGGAGTGTAAGACTGTATAAGTATAAACAAGCAATTGTAACAGGTGTCTATGTAAATTGGAGGCCAGACACAGTATAAAACAAGCTTACACTATACTCCATTTAACACTTCTATTATTTCATTTCATGCCAATATTAAAATGCACACTGGAAAAGAAACCCTGATGTGAGCTCAGCTTTGAATCTGTAGGAGCACTTTGCACAGGATTTCAAAGTTCACGCTGCAAGAGCTCGTGGCCAGCCGTTTGGTTCAGGGCAGCTTCGGTCCCCGCAGGCAGGAAGGCAGGTGTGAGTGGAAGCAGGCTATGGCAGGCCTTCCTGTAGTCTTCATACTGGGCACTACAGTTCCCAAAGCTGCCGTCCAGCAGTGCCTCAGCAACCCGCATCAGCATCTAATGACACGAGGAGGAAGACCGTTATACAAAGATAAACAGCAGCTTCCAGTAGTGATCTTCATCGACAGATACAACTTATTCCTTATCCCCGAGAAAGACTTCAGTCCCTTCTTCCTATCTATAGTGGGCAATCATTTCAAATAAAGAACGTTCAATGCCAGCGTTGAGCTGGTTGTTGTGGCACTCAGGAGGCCGAAGTAGCATTCCAACTCCAAGTCTTAAGAGAACTGCATAGCAAGACCTGTCTCAAAAAAGGGAAAAGGAAGGCGAGATGCCTCAGTCGATAAACGTGCTGGCTACCAAGCCCGACAATGTAAGTTCAATCCTTAGGACCCAGATGGGAAAGTAAAGAACCAAATCCCAAAAGTTGTCCTCTGACCTCCACATTCCTGGCATGGCACTGTCCTTCCCAATAGACAAACAAAAAAAACTAATAGGGGAAAACACTCTAAAAGCCTCAAAAAGATAATTCTAGTTTTTGTTTCATTAGGGCAGCTTAGCATCAAACTGAGTATGTAGCCAGGGCTAGCTTTGAACTTCTGATCCTCCTGCTTCCACCCTTTGAGTCATGGAATTACAGGCACACACCTCATATCCAGGAAGAGTGTCTTTTACTGGTAACAGTAGTTCACATTACTAAGTGCCTCTATATGAGCCAGGACAAAGGACTTCATGTTTTGTTATTTCAGTTAACTCCAACTCAACTACGAAACTTGCACATCTTTGCAACAAGAAAAGAAATGGAACTTCCCTGAAGTCACACAGCTCATAATGGGTGGAGCTGAGATTTGTATCTAGGCTGAGTTCTGTAATCCACTCAGAACTATGTTGTAGAGATGCATGTTTTGTTAGATATTGCAAGACCTAGGAATCAGTCTGGGAAGAGTCTTACCTTCACATTTTTATCTTGTATAGTTTCATCCAACCTAGTGGCTATAGCAATTGCTTTCTCTTGCCTTGACTTGTCCAGAAAATACATCATTTTAGCACCTGAAATTCCAACACATTTCAGTGTGAGGAACTGGGTCCTAAGGCTTACGTCTCATCTAGTTTATACTGACCAATCAGATGTGGCTTAAAGTGCTTAGTCAACTAGTGGTGAGCTAGAGCTGGCAACCACCAGCTCTGGGCAGCCAACTGTGACATTTGCTCCTACTTTCCTCCTATTCAGTAACATCCTACTGAAGCATTGGACTAGATTGAGTGTATGAGTCACCACGGCAAAACTATCAGAGGAGCAGCTAAGAACACTTGCGGCTCTTACAGAGGACCCAGATTTAGTTTCCAGTACCCACATGGCAGCTCATAACCATCTGTAATTCCAGTTCCAGGCAATCTGACACCCTCTTCTGGCCTCCATGGGTACTGCACACATGTTGTGCACCAACATACATGCAGGTAAACCCCCATACACATACAATTTTAAAAATAAATTTTCAAACAAAACACATTATCAAAGCTTTTCCTTCACAGACATTATCAAACATTTACTGAAAGAAGGCTAATTTGACACTTCTGCGCTTAGAAACAATGTAATTCAAAATATAAATGTACAGGGCTATTTACACAATCAATATTTCAGCCAAAACCACTTTTAAAAAGCACAGTGCCTTAAACTAAAGCATCTAAAGAATAAATTACTGTCACAAAGAAATATATTCAAAGAAAGATATTTCCATACTTACAAAGAAATTTTTAAAAGCTTTTTAAAACAAAACAAAACCCAGTTCATGTGTCCTGAAAATGGTATGATCTGTGTTCACATTCCTACTGTATTCTTATTAGTGTACATTATTTGTTAGTAATTTGAGAACCCTATACATATTAACTTACAGTTACAAAGTGGTCTTCTGACTTTTTTTTTAAAGGAGCTTTTCTTTTTCTTTTGTTATGGGATATTTTGAATGTAATTGACACTCCCAAGACTGACAATAAAGTTTACTTTGAATCAGAGGGTGGAGCTAGCTACTAGCTGACCAAAATTAGCCATAGAAGTTTTGGAGGACATGGGACACATAGAGAGCAGGAGAAGTAGTAGGGTGGGACTTAGAAAGATTCCCTGCCCTTTTGGATTGAGGAAGGAGAGAGGAGGTCATTGGTCTCTTCTCAGTCACTTGACCACTCAGATTCTTACCCGGATATCTGACTCCCGAGTTTTTATTAATAAAGAATGATTAGATAAATGCTTCATTCCTTTTTAAAAAAGATTTATTTATTTATTATGTATACAGTGTTCTGTCTTCAGAGAGCAGTGTCTGTCCAGACAGTGTTTCTCTCTACAAGACAGGGAACCGGAGAAGCGCACACGGCTCCCGCGGCTGCTGGAGCAGCCCCAAGTCTCTGTCACACCAGATGATGTAATAATGGGGTCCCCAACACACCGGGACCTAGAGACGGTGCCGCCCAGGGTGCTCCCTGACCGTTCTCTGTCCATGGACACAGTGCCAGGATATGCTGTCCCTCGTGTACACCCTCACATGCCACGCTCTGTGTGCCACTCAGACTCACTGGACAATAGCTCCATGTGCCTTAGCTGACTGGATAATATATGGATACAAGACAGTGAACTTCACACCAAACTAGATCTGTACCCCGATGCTGGTCTCCAGTCTGCGTCCCCCATAACTCATCATGACTCCGCTGCCCTTACCCCCTCCCCAACCCACCAAAGCAATGCCCCACAGGACACAAATACATTTCAAGACAGAAAATACGTAACCCAAGGCTGGGGACGTCGCCCAATTGGTAGACTGCTTGCCTAACATGCATGAAGGCCTGGGCTCAATCTCCAGCACTGCATAAAACCACATGTGGTGGACTATGGCTCTAATCTTAGTATTCAGGATGTGGAAGTATTAGGAAGTTCCAGGTTATTCTTGGCTATAAGAGGCCAATCAAAACAACATTAAACTCTCCACCAAAAAATAAATAAATAAATCAATAAAAAAGCATAACAGCAATAAAAAGAGAAAAAAAACCTACTCATAATCTTAGTATCCAAAGACATTAAAGTTTTGGTATAAACTTCCTTTCAGAGCTTTTCCCAGGCATATTTTTACACAACTGACATTTATTGTTTGTTTGCTCTGCTTATGTATATAAAGTTATTTATAACCAGATAACCAGGTAGGTATAATCCCAGTATTTAGGTCAAAGCTGGTTCAAAGCCAGCCTGGGTTACATGTGACCTCATCTCCAAAAAAAAAAAAAAAAAAAGGCTGTCAATCACTGTTATTATAAATCATGTGAATAGAATTAACACTGCTTTAATGTTTAAATGACTACCTGGTATTCCAGTCTACCATTTACCACTGTTTCCCACATCACTGAACATACATCTATTTGTTCATTCTCTTTTCCTAAATTTTACATACACTTCAGCAGACAGTCTTTGTATTGAAAGCTCGCTCTTTGTTTGGATCATTTTTGTTTGAGCCGGGGTTTGTGTATGTAGCCAACTAAAGCCGGCCTTAAACTTGTAATTCTCCTGCATCAGCGTCTGGAGTCTTGGGATTACAGGTGAGAACTACTACCCCCACCCAGTGGTAGTTGTATTAAGTTATTTACAAAAGTATGACTATAGAATCAAAATATTTTTACTTCTATCTTATGTGTACTGCTTTGCCTGTGTGTATATCTGTGTACTACATGCATGCCTGCCTGTACACCCAGAAGTCAGAAGAGAGCACTGGATCCCCTGGAATCAGAGTTAAGGATGGTTGGGAACCACCATGTGGTGTGCTGGAAACTGAACCTGAGTCCTCTGCAAGAGCAGCGGAACTCTTAACTACTGAGCCTCAATCCAGCACCTAATGTACAACCCTTCCTAAGACAGACAAATTGTGTTCCTATCCAAGAGTGCTGCTTACTATAGACTCGAGTATTCTCTTTCTTAACAAGAACAGTTTGGCCAGTTCAAAAACAAAACTAGTCCTGTGTTTTTTTGTTTTGTTTTTGTTTTTTCCCCTGGTAATTAATTAGGCTGAATACTTTTCCAAATACAAACCTGAAAGTAGATGCTGAAGAGAGGTAGCATTGTGCTTGAGAAAATCTTCATTAAAGCTGTGCAAGTCTTTGTTGACAAATATTTTCTTCATTTCTTGAGCTAGAACTTGGCTCACAATGTCTGGAAGATTACTATGATTAGATACTACAAAAACAAAAACATTTGGATTTGTTTTTCATCTGTCCTTTCAGGGGAAAAAAATCAACTGAAAGATTTTTGTATTTAATGTTAAGCTTAATATATATATATACACAGTAAAATTACTCTATCACTCCTTTGAAACAAATGGTATTTGTCTAAAATGTACTAATTTAAATCTTATCATTTAATTACAGGTGTACAACCATTTGATATCAGGCAAACCTTTGGTTTGATTACATCTTTGTGGTCTCCTTCCTGTCCAGCTAAATGGAGGATGGCTTATATTTGCTTTTCATGGTTGCATGCACACGAACACTTCCTCCTCATACTTACCAGATTTAGAAAATTTAATCAAGCATTCATGTAACCACGCATTATTACTGTCAATGGCAAAGGCTCGTTTAACAGACTGCAACATTAGTAGAAACTTCCCTGTGCCAGAAAAACAAAACAAAAAATCCAGCATCAGTAGTTATGTGGTATCTTCTTCACTTTATTTTAGCTTCACTTAAATTCAATTTAAGAACTTAATTTTTAAAAAATACTTGCTAGAAAAATTCAAAGTTAATTTGCATTATCCAAGACAATTTTTGCTTTCCTAAGAAAATTTTAAAAATTGTGTCACACGGGCCAAGCAGTGGTGTCCCATGCCTTTAACCCCAGCACTTGGGAGGCAGAGACAGGTAGATCTCTGTGAGTTCGAGGCCAGCCTGGTCTATAGAGAGAGTTCCTAGACAGCCAAGCCACAAAGAGAAATCAAACTGTATATAAAACCCAAAAAGGAATAAAACTGCTTAACATAAATGTCTTAGTTAGGTTTCAACTGCTGTGATAAAACACATGACCAAAAGCAACTTGGGGAGGAAATGGTTTATTTCATCTTAGAGCTGGTAGTCCATTATCCAGGAAAGTCAAGGCAGGAATTCAAGACAGGAATCCTGAGGCAGGAGCTGATGCAGAGACATAGAGGAACTCTACTTACTGGCTTGCTCCTTATGGCTTGCTCAGTGTGCTTTCTTATACTTCAAAGAACCACCAGCCCACGGGTGGTACTGCCCAGTGAGCTGGATTCTCCCACAAGAACCAAGAAATGCCCCACAGGCCAATCTGGTAGGAGCATTTTCTCAAGTAAGGTTCCTTCTTCCTAAATGTAAACTTTAGTATGCACTGACATAAAACTAGCTAGCACATGTAAAAAATTTATATATTGCTCCAACTATTTTCTTACTGGATTTTATTATAATATTTTAATATGTTGCCCAGCAAATTTTTGAGTAGGAAAATAAAAGGAAATTAAACCTTTTGTGGAAAGTTGACATAAAGCTCTAAAAAGCAAAAAAGGATCTAAGTGACAAAATTATACTTCAAAAAGTCAACATTATAAAGGTTAGAAGCTGGGGCTGGAGAGATGGCTCAGAGGTTAAGAGCACCGACTGCTCTTCCAGAGGTCCTGAGTTCAATTCCCAGCAACCACATGATGGCTCACAACCATCTGTAATGAGATCTGGTGCCCTCTTCTGTATACATAATTATTAAATAAATCTAAAAAAAAAAAAAAAAAGATTAGAAGCTGACCTCAAGGTTAAGAATGTGTAATTTAGTGAAGAAGTACATGCCTAGCCTGTGTGAGGCCCAGCCTTCAACCCCCCTGCACCATGGAAAACAAAACAACAACAGACATACAAACCTCAATTCAAAACAATGTGTTACCTTTTCTAAAGTAAATTTCAAATGCTAGCAGGTGGGTATAAATGTTATCAGCAGCGAGGGTCTTTAGAGGAGTGAGGAACTTGATGGCCTCTTCTAATGGATTGTCAACCTATTTTGAAGCAGAAAGGAAAATTTCTGTATTTAAAAAGCAGGTACACAGCCAGGTGGTGGTGGCACACGCCTTTAATAGCCAGAACCTGGAAACAACCTAGATGCCCATCAACGGAAGAATGGATGGAAAAAATGTGGTACATATACACAATGGAGTACTACTCAGCAGAGAAAAACAATGAAAGCATGAAATTTGCAGGCAAATGGATGGAACTAGAAAAAATCA